CACGGGGACCCTCCTCATTAAGCCGCCGCTTGACATCGCTCACCGCTCGTCACCCTCAGCATCAGGACGAGCTCTGCCAGCATCTGCAGTCAGGCTGGCACTGGGGAAGGCAGCTTTGCTCTCCAGATGGAAAGGCCTCGCCTTTTACTTCTTAAATCTGTTTAATTGTGCCTCCTTCTCAGCACCCAGGCACAGGCTCAACAGTTAATTTCGTGCTCAGCTGCAGCATCGACATATTCCAGCATGGGCACGCAGAGCGCAGGCAGCGACTGCGCTTAGCAGCAGTGCTAGCCACGGCAGGTCATACATTTCATTGCAGACATCCTTCCACCCGGGGCTCCTCAGATCCAGCTAGAGTTTTGTTGTCATTTAAGCTGTTGTCTGCTCTAGAAGCATCAGGCTGTGCTCCCATAATGCGCTGGCTTTTTTATTTTTAGTTGATTTAGTGTTCGCCTTGATTGTGCGAGCGCAGCACACAATTGGAAGAATAAGGGGGCACGTAATAGCGTCTGGCTCTACCCTGTTCCCTTCCTGCCCAACGCTTGAACTCGGGCAGGTTTCAAAAGCAGTGAGGAAGTGATGCACCTTCCCCAGATCTGGCATGATGAAACCTCAGTGATGCCTTCTACCTGCGCTTGAGTGAGGAATGGGTGTTGAGCATTTGCATTGGCAAAGCTCCCATTGTTACTAAGAGATGCAACCTCAGTGAGCCACGGTGGGAAAGGCCCATCTCTCCTGGCCATTTTGAAGCAAAAGTCACAAGCATGAGGCAGTGGCATTCAGGCAGAGGCTATGAACACATGTGGCTCGCAGATCAAATTTAGGGGCGTCATCACCCAGCTCTTAACCTGCATGACTTCTCACTGTTTTGAGAGACAGAGAGAGAGCCCCAGGTACGGCACCATAAAGAAATGAAGGCCAAGGTTTGGTGCTGCACTGAGGTTTGGCTTAACAAGGAAGAAGGGAAGATGGATTTGCACCAGATCAGGCATCGGCAGGAGGCTGCTGTCATGCCTGCCTGCTGGAGCAGGTGCCAGTAGGACAATACTGAAGTCTCAGGAGGAAAGCAAGAGCTCCCTGACACTGGCTGAAGAAGTGGGTGGCCACCTGTCATACCCAGGAGCCTGCCCGTGGCGCAGAGCACAATGGAAACAATGACCTGGCAGTGTTTTTTAGCAAGCAGTGCATGCCGAGAGGGAGGGAGCGGGTGGGACTTGTTTCTTAGCAGGTTCCCACAAGGGCAGCATGGCGTGTACCCTCCTCCGACTAAACCCGGGTGCTTTCTTTCCCTTCGGCCCTGGTCCTTGGGCATCAGTGCAGCGATGCCCCTTTAAACCACCTGAGTAATGTGTCTGACCCCTTGACTTCAGCGCTGCTCCTCCAGGCTGTGGTGGGCAGGTAGCTTTCGACTGAGTTGAAATCCATCCTGGGCCAGGAGAAATAAAAAAAAACAAACAAACCCTAGGAGTTGGCATGCTCAGGGCTTAAAGGCAGAAGAAAGGACATATGTAATGGCTTTGTAGCGGCTGTCAGTGCGGGCATGGGTTTTCTTTCTTCATCGCAAAAGCTGGATATTTAAAAATAATAGTCTCTCCTATCTCTAGTCTCAGGCAGAGTTTCTTGAAATTTACCTAAGCCTTCTCAGGATCCAGTGCTGTAAGTCGGATTTTCAGTGACACCGAGGCTCAGTAACCTTGGAACAAAGTCTTGCAATATTGCTCCTGACTGCTGCCGCGCTGGTGTAGTGCCTCTCCTCTCAGGGGGCTGCCCCGGGGAGTGACCTTCCCCACATCTGACCTCCGGGCCAAGCCCTGACTCTGTGCTAAGGCTCCTGCTTTCCTCACCTAGTTAGCTGCTGAACTCAGGCTGCCTTTCAGTTCCCACGACTGCCACTATCTTCTGCCTAACAGCTCCCACCCAGGGCTTGCTTCTAGGACATGGACAGGTGGCATAACAGCACTCCTCCTCCTCCTCCTTCTCCTCCTCCAAGGCACTGCCCCTGGATTCAGATAGAGGAACCAGCTTGATGGCTGAGTGATGCCTCCGTGTGCTCTCTTCAGACCTCCTCCTTCCCCTCTCCCCCAGGACCCTTCCCAGCCTCACCCTGTCCTTGAAAAGCATGCTGCTGCTCCATGTCCAGTTGTCTGCACTGGGTGGCTGTTGAGTTTCCAGGCGTGTCCCCGAATCCTTGGTGCTGGCTCTAGCCGGGCTTGGCAAGAGCTTGCATCAGCCAGTGCACTCGACTGTGGAGCATATCCACGCCTAGGATCCAAATGGCTCACAGAGGAGCTGAAACAGGAAAAAAACACTGCATTGGGGGCAGGGGAAAGGGCTGGGTGCACAGAAGCTAGGCAGATAGAAAAGGGAAGGTGAAGACGGACCTGAAGACAGAGGACTAGCCCAACTGGCACCTGAGAGGTGGTCTCTTAAGCGATCACCTGTTTACCATAGCATGGGAAGGACCTTGAGAGTTTTCCAGTCCAACCACTTGCCAATAATGCAGGATTTACTGTTCCTTTGCTAGTGTATCTTCATTTCGGTATTATTTGCTTTAAGCTATACCACGCAAGAACTGGCTTGTTGTAAAAGCTGCATCTTCATTAGGGAGCTTTTCAGGTACAGCTCTCCCCGGTGTTGCTATCTCAGCAAATCCTTCTACGTGTAGGCAAGTTGAGTGTAGCCCGTCTGGGGCTTTCCCTATTCACAGAATCCCTTCAATACAATGGCGCTTAGATGGGTCAAATCTAATAGTTATACCCCAGGGGTGTTTAGCACTTGGGGGGGTGTTTACTCCCATGCCCAACCACCCTGCCAGACTGTGGTTATAGATGCCTTTTAAACCACCATAGGTAGATGGCTGGATAGATAGGAATTTCCCCTGGCTTCTAATTCCAGTCTCGGCATCTTTAAGAATCACCTATAGCTCCCTCCTAACGCTTACAGAATCCGGCACCGCTTTCTCCAATAAACCTCTCCTGCCCAGAATGTGAAATACCGCTTTCTCCTTGACCCATGCACCTTACTTACTGTTGGGCAGATTTTTGCTGCTCTGCTAGCCCTTTTTCCTCCCTTCCTGCAGGTAATAAAATAGAGCTCCAATAAACCAACACTTTGTTTTTGCTCTTGCAGCAGGTCCTACATTTTACAGCCCTTTCGCTGCATGACTTTAAATGGGGAAAGATTTCTGAGAGCCTCTGCCAGAAGATGATTAATCCAGTTATTCTTAAGAAAATCCTGCAACAGCAGCAGGTTCAGGCAGCATGCAGAGAGAGACGCACATGCGAATTTGCCATCTCACGGTGCATTTACAAGTAGGGCATGGATCCGGAGAGATAAGCTGCATATTTTATTGGCTCTTCAAGTCATGATAGTGCACTGGCTGCTGTGTGGCCCTGGTGGAAATCAGGGGTGGAAAGTACAAGCTGGTTTTCTTCCCCCCTTGCACAATTGTCACTGCTTACTCTGAAAATAACAGCCGTATACATGTAGGAAAGAGCAAGCAATACATGTGCAAGAGAGCCGCGCAAGCCTCATTTGACAAACAGCAGTTCAAGCCATTAAAGGAAGGTCTAATAATAAATATGTTATTTAACATAAAGCTCCTTTAGTGTGATACCGAATTATAAAAATGGAAGAAGGGTTATTTATTAATTTATTTTAATCTAATTTGCTTGATGCCACCAACGGCATTTGTGGAGTTGTGCGTTTTGAATGGTGGCTGAGGCCACAGAAGGATAGCAACCTTACTACTGTTATCACCTGGTGGAGTTATCTTTTTAGCTCAAGGGCAAGAGGTCTCCGTGAGGTGCTGCGAAGGTGCAAATCCTGCCGCTGTCTAGCAGGGGCTGTTCTGTTTGCTTTCAGCATTTCACTTGCAGCCATTTTCACTGTTGGCTTGTCATCGATTTAATTTTCTGACTGCCGAGACAGTTTCTAATGGTTCCTCAGTTCTTGGAGTCAGGCGATTACAACAATCAGCTTCCATTAGTATCAAAACCCTAGCCCTCGCATTTGGGAAGAAGTGCCAGAGGCTGTGGCCTGTGGCACCTGTGCCCCCAAAAAACTCAAAAAAGGAAAGAAAAGTCGCAGTTGTTAAAACTCGATGCGTTTCCTCAGGCGTCTCATTTTGAAGCTGGTCTTGTGATTTCTCAGTGACCGATTCATAACTGGAATCAGAACTCATGACAGAAGTGATATTTTTTATTAGACCAACTAGATATTTGCAAAAAAATATATATTACTTGGTTCGTAAGTGTGAATTCTTGGGGTTGGCAGTATAGCAGGGATGCTTAGGGCCCGTCTCCAAAGATCTTGCCTAGGCACCAAGTTCCTGAGCTGCAGCAGTCCTGTGCGGTGTGGGAAAGGCAGGTCTCATGGGTTTCTGGCATCCTCTTCAAAGCACCTTGCCAATAGGAATGGTTTCCCTTATTTCCCTCTGAGAAGCAGGTGCTGTAAGTGTTCATTTTGGATTGCAAGTTCTTTGGGACAGGGCCTAGCTCTGCTTTGTCTGTGTTTGTACAGCACCTAGCACAGCGGGAACCTGACTGGGATTCTGACCATGAAACAGAGGATGACAGTGCCCATTTTGCAGATGGATAGCAGGAGCTCCAGAGAGGCTGGGGATAGGGAACCTCGCTCCACTAGGAAGAAAGAGAAAGCAGCCGGGCAGAGGGGGGGGTTAAGACTGGGTGAGACCAGCTAAGCACCTAGTTGTGCTCCTGGGCAGCAGCTGACTGCATGGTAACACCAGGTGACATCTACCTTGGTGCTGGGTTTTGTGCCTCCTCTGGGGGTGGTGAAGTCTGTGGCACAGCTCCCAGTAAAGCCAGGATTTCTCCCATGTCTCATTAAATAGAAGGGTTCTCCGTGGCCATGGGCTTTGGTGTCTTTGGAGGGGAGAATATTTGGAGCTGGGATGCATTGCTCTGCATGCCTTTCTACCTGGGCACCTGGCCTCTGGGGCAGGGCTGCTGACAATCTCTTCCTTCCTGTCTGTTTAGAAAGCCGACTTGGCAGTGGCTGGCCTGACGATTACTGCAGAGCGGGAGAAGGTGATTGATTTCTCTAAGCCATTCATGACTCTGGGAATTAGCATTCTCTACCGAGTTCATATGGTAAGAGACTTATTTTATAACCGTTTATGTCATTACAGTTATTTGCATGCAAACGCGCATAGTTATAGAGCAGTAATGAATGACTCATAACAATATTTTGGTTTCTTATCTAAACACAAATGTGCTGGACCTTTATTTCCCCCTCCCTCCATCCCATCTCAGCTGCAAGGATTCAGCACAGGAACTCTGCCAGGAACACTCCCAGTGCCCAATGCTGCATGCACCCAGCTCTCACTGGCTCCAGGAGGCATCCCATGTACAGGGAACTGCAGGATCTGTTCTGCTCCCTCCTCCATGCCTGCCTGGCAGGGGCTGATGCAAAGCCCAACATGTCAGTGGAAAGATTCCCATTAGCTCCAGCTCTCTGGATCAACCCCAGATGCAGCTGGCGCAGGAGCATTGCTGCAATGGGTAGCCGCACTACCTACAAGTCTCATCACCCCAGATCTCTGCAGATAAGCTGCATTGAGTCTGGCCGACATCTGCATGAGGTCACCCATGAGACTTCAAGAGTCGTCATGCTTATTGGGAACTTTTCTAAAGTAGGAGGTTGGCACTCTGGACCCAGGACCTGATCTGCTGCCTTGACTCATTGCTCACATGGAGTAGCACCATCCCCACTCGAGCAGTCCTGTTGATTTTGGATATGTCTACACCACCGGCACAGAAGTGACTACAGCATGGTGTAGCCACACGCAAGCTAGTTTAGGCTGGCTGCCTCGGCTACCGACAACAGTACAGACGTCAATGTAGGCTGGAAACCAGCCTGAAAAGCCGGGTCTATTAGCTCAAGTTGAGCCAACTGCTGAACTGCCACTGGTTTCTGAGCCAGCTAGTTTAAAGCTAGCTTGGGTGTGTCTACACTTCACTGCTGAGCCTGTAGTGAGCACATACCCAGAGTTTCATGCACTGTTCAAGGCAAGTATGGCAGAATCTGGCCCTTCCTAGAGTACCCAGGTGCCACAAGATGGATTAGTGATTCTGGGAGCTGTGTTAATTAACACCGCAGTGGCATCAGGCATGTGCTGATGAGCTCATTATCTTAAGTGTGTTTCTTGGCAGATGCTCCACAGTTTGGCTCTCCCTTGATATGTCTGAGATACCCCCTTGGGTTCTGCTGGGTACCCTGTTACTTGAGTGGAAGGAAAGTGCCCACCTACTTTTAGGAGGACGTGAGCCTATAACCCACTGTTGAGTAGCTGTGGGTCACCCCAGCGGGGATCATTCTCCCATATTCCTTTAGCACACGGCTACACCACATCCCCAGCATGCCCCAGAGTGGGTGCAAAACCCATCTGATGGTTCTTGCTCAGATGCACCGAGCCTGGCAAGGCAGTGAAGCTATTGACATCTGCAACAGGCACGGTGAAGGACACTGGTTGGCTGTCAGGAGATCCTTCTGGAGCAGCTTGGTCCATCGCCAAATGTAATACATGGGAATGGAAGCAGGTGGGAGCCCTCCATCTCAGGGCACTCTGAGGTTGCAGTGCAGATGTATATGCTCAGCTGGACAAAGCTCATCAGCTTCGATTCCCAATGTAAAGTGACACACGTCTCCTAAGAGCTCCCCTTCGCCTTGCCCATTTGGAACCGGGCACCTTTAGTTGGCTGATGCACACTCCTTTCACTTTAATAAATCCCTGATGTGGCCAGATTTTCTCGTTCTTCATGCCAGCTGAAGCCCTTTGTATTCCTGCGCCTTACCCAGGGCAGACTGCTGCACTGAGATGGTTCATAATATGCCCAATCTGCAGTTTCAAACATGCTCCACATGCTGTAAGAAATATGGCCCTGATTCCCCATCAGCTGAACACCAACAACCTGAAAGATAAAACAATTAAAGCCATTTCTTCCTGATCCCTTCCCCCTCTCTCAATTCACAAGGCTGTTAAGGATGCAGCATTCGGTGGTAGCGTAAACAGGCTCACACACACATCTCTCTGGGCTGGATTTCTCTTGCCAAGAACAAACAAGTAATTACAGTCTAGTTAAAATTCCGTTTTCTCTGCTATGGGCAGAATGAAGGATCAATGAGCGAACACATCAATGCGGATTGGACCCTTCCATGCTTTGAGAGGGCAAATATGTGTAAAGACTGGTTCCTCCCTTCCCCTCCCCCTCCAGACATGCTTTCCCTTGCTGTACTGCCCTCCCCAAAAAATCCAGGCATGTCCCAGAGGTTTGTCTGCGAGACCTTTGCTATGATCAGATGCCAGTGCAGTTCCTTACTTCATCCACTTGCTTTCTCTCATTTCTCAAGGGGGTGGGGGCTGCTGGTGTGGACTGAACATGCGCTGCCCCCAACTTAGTCTGTGATCATGGGCAAATCACTTACTGGTTCGCTTTCTCTCTCTGCAGCAGGAGGTAGCAAGCCTTACTTAGCTGTCTAGCAGAGAAGTCAGGAAGAGAGAAGAGGGTTTTGGGCACGTAATCCACCCCGTAAGTGCAAGGCGTTTGCTAATGCTGCCTTGGAAGCTAGACAAAAATACATCTGACATGTCTATTTAGATTGTAAGCTCTTCAGGGCAGAGACCATCTGCTACTCTGTGTTCAGACAGTGCTAGCGTAGCAAGGCTACATCCTGCCTGGCCCATAGGCATTACTGGCATAAATACAATTAATAATGAAGTCTAGAAAGCCTTTTGCTGACTTTATTCTCTCCTGGTGCTCTGATTTGGGGCAAATCCGCAACTCTGCAGGGCCCAGTAGCAAGCATCAGGATGAAGGAAGTACCCTCTTGGATCGGACCTATTGTGTATATAGTCCTATTCTCTGTCCCCAACAGCAAATGGGTGCTTCAGAGTGCAAAGCCAGTCTCCAATGGCAGACCCAACACCTCTGGAGTTGCAGATGTTCTTGCAGCCCTGCTGTGGGGGGGAAGTAGGGATCTACTGCTGGTGGATGTCTGTAGCTACTTCTATCTGCATACCTCTTTGCCCACAGATGATCCTTCTCAGACCTTGGCCCCCTGAAATGGACTGTGGCTATGAAGTCCACCAGCCCTCTCCCTCTGCTCCATATCATGGCAGGTAATGCCAACCATTTGGCCCCTCTTCCTCCAGAACCCAGCGCCTAAGAGCTGTGCAGCAATTAACTCATTAAACTAGTAAATATGTATTTAACAATGAAAATGCAAGCTAATTGCATTGGTTTTCCTTTAAGGGTCAGGTTTCTGGAGCAGATAAAGGCAGGTCCAGAGCCCTGGATGCTCTTAATTCTTTCCTTCCCCACCCCACCCTTCTTCTCCCCACATCTTGAAGTAGAAAATTGCAGCTGACACAAGTTAATCACAACTTGGAGCGGGCATCGCCTAACAAATAACTACAAATAAATTTCCTGCCGAGGAGCCATCTCCGTGTCCTGGTCCCCTCCCTACTTAATGACTTCCTTTTATATTCTGTATAAGTTCAGTTTCCAATCATCCCCCCCCCCTCGCGCTTCCTCCTCCCAAGCCCACCACCACGCTGTACATGTCTTCCTTATCTCACATAACCAAATATGGCAGCTGCAAATGGGGCTGTCATTTTTCTCCATTTCACTTGTTGTGATATAATCAAGTGTGGATTTATGACATGTGGGCACTAATGGGCTTTCTGACTTGCAGGCTGCTGAGAGAAGAGTTCTTTTTTTCTCCGCCCCTCTGTCCAGCAAACAGGAGAAAGATTGGGTGGGGGGGAGAAAGATTGACTCTGAGCTCTCAGCAGATGTGTTTAGACTGGAAAGAGGGCTGTTTTCTGTCAAACTGGGGGGAAGGATGTAGCAGGAGCCGAGCAGAGCCGGATACAATTAATGGTTGTTTCAGAGTCCTGCTTGCGGATATTGGATTAGAGTCCTGCTTGTGGGTTGCCATTATGCGATGTGCCACACAGATAAATGGTGAGAAGCAATTCTTCCTCCTGTGGTATCCAGAAAAATCCCTCTGTAGCCTTTAATTACCTCAGTGGCTTCCTTGGATAAAAGATATCAGATTTACCCAAAGATCCTCGCCTGCCTATGTCCTTAGACCAACACAGCTACAAACTATACCCTTGGATAAACCCTTGAATTGTAAGGGAAAAGTATCTTTTTAAGACCCAGATAGACAAAGCCTTGTCTGGGGTGATGTAGCTGGGGGTGGTCCTGCTTTGAGCAGGGGGTTGGACTACATGCGACCCCCTGAGGTCCTTTCCAGCCCTAATTTTCTATGATCCCATCCTTCCTCCTCTAATCTTGGAGGTCATTCCCTTCTTAGGGCTTCTGTACAGAAGTAGTCAAAATCACTGTTTCAGTCTCTTCCCAAGGAGACTTCACATCCCGAATCAGAGGAGTGTGTGGAGGACACTGTACACAATAATTAGTACCACTTATCAAGGACACATCCCCTTGAATGCATAGCAAGACTGTGAGATGGCTATCAGCATCTCTTTATGTCAGCACCTGCTACTAAGCTGGTAGCACGCTGGGACAGTTATGTGAATTCCAGCTATCCCGCTGAGCTGCATATTCACCCATCCCCTTGTCCTCTCCGTGTTGCGTCCCTATTCCTTTCATCGCTAGCAATCCTACACAGCCATATTGGACCCCAGGGCTCCTCACTGCGTCTATAGCTTGAGGGCATCACCTCGGGAGCTGCGTAAGGCAGAGAAAGGATGTAGCCTTAGGCATGCTTTCCCAGACACTCAGCAGATAGAGGAAGTCTCCAAGGAGGAAGAACAGTCCCACGGCAAGGATGTGCACACAGCAGTAGCTGCTGCCTCCATCTCCAAGGGAGGCGACAATCCCTTCAGCACCGTCATACCTGGAGGCCCATAAAATCTTCCAAGATGTGATGAGGAGGGTATCCGCGCTGTTTCGATTCCAGATGAAGATGTACAAGAGGCCCCACAGCAGCTTTTGGACATTTTACACACTTCTGTAACAGGGAGAGCAGCTCTCACAATTAACAAAGCCCTACTGGAACCTGCTAAAAATACCAGGCATACACCACCTATTTTCATTCCCAGCTTCAAAAAAGCAGATAAGCAATAGCTGGCACCCTCCGTGGGAGCAGAATATCTTTATTCTCCCTCTGGTGTGCAGTTCTTTCATTGCTGCTACTGTGAATGAAAAGAACATATAGCGCCAACCTAAAAATGACTCGAGCTGAAAAGGAACAGAAACGAGCATCTCTGCTGGGTCGCGAGGGTTATTCATTGGCCAGCTTTCAATTTCCAACTCCAAGCTGTCAGGCTCTGCTTGTCCGATACAATTTCCTTCGCTGCAGTAACATATTGATAAACTGCCCCAGAAACGTAGTGAAGACACTTATTTGCCGAAGGGGGAGTTGGTTGGAAGGACATCGCAGCAGGTAGCAATGCCTCCTGGTCCCCGACTCCCATGACGGGGCCATTGGCGTTCAAGCTGACTAGTTAGGCCTGGAGTCAGTCATCCGAGTCCAGAGCCGGGAGTCAGGGTGCAGTCCCAGCCAGGGTCTGGAGGCTGACCCCAAGTCCAGATGGGGCATCAAGATTCATAAACTAACTACTCTCTCAATCCTTCATGCTTACTCACCTGCTGCGGAAACTACTCACAGTTCTGTCACGGGTCAGCAGATCGTTTCAGCAGGCTATACCTTTCCCACTTACAGCCTCAACCCACTTTGCTGTCCCTCTTCGGAGCCTCTGTCACTCCAGGAAACAGAATTACTTTATTTACTCTTGGAGAAATGAGATGTTGCAGTGCAGCACGTGGAGAAAGGATTTTATTTAAATAGGAGTCAGAAAAGGGGAAGTGCGATCACTTCTGGATTTGAGAACATTGTCAGTGCTGGGAAAGTGGTTGTTTTAGCCTCCGTGCTGCTGTTTCCAGATCCAGAAGAGTAGTTAGCAGCTCTCAATTGTCATCTCTGGCACCTCTGAATTACTTAAGATACCTGGCAGGTCCAAACCATTACTAGCACTGTGTTTTATGCCTGGACTTTTTAAGGCTAAGCTATTTTTTTTCTTTTACCAAAGCTATTTACAAAGTCTTGGCAGTGTGTTTAAGAAGCCAGAGGTAACTGTGTGTACCCATCTGGATGACTGGCTTGGAGGAGGAGACTCTCTCTGGAGTATACAAAATTTCATGCATGCCATTTGCATACAGTCATAGCATCGTGGACAATGAAGGCTGGAAGGGACCTCAGGAGGTCATATCTGGTCCAACCCTCTGCTCAAAGCAGGACCAGCCCCAACTAGATCATCCCAGCCAAAGCTTTGTCTAGCTGGGTCTCAAAAACCTCCAAGGACAGAGCTTCGACCACCTCTCTGGGTAACCCATTCCAGTGCTTCACCACCCTCCTCGTGAGAGAGTTCTTCCTAATATCTAACTTAAACTTACCTTGCTGCAGCTGGAGCCCATTGCTCCTTGTCCTGTCATCTGCCACCACTGAGAAGAGTCCAGCTCCATCTTCTTTGCATCCACCCTTCAAGTATTTGAAGGCTGCTATTCAATCTCCCCTTAGGTGACTAAATCAGTCCTGTTCCTTGAGCTTCTCCTCATAAGTCACGTACCCCAGCCCCTGAACCATCTCTCTGGACCCACATCCTTTTCAGCATTTTGTGTCCCCTGGTCGTAGAGCCAACGAGGATCATTTCACATAGACATCGTTGGAAAAGGCAGTTTTTTTAAGGGCTGTTTTGGGCCCTAGGGCAGGTTGAGAACCACATCAGTGTTCCCTGCTCAGCACCAGACAGGTCCCTGAATGACACGAAGCTTTGTAGGACCTGCTGCTCACGTGGCGTCTTGTACCATCACCATGCTGTGTGCCAGGTACTCTCTTCCCCAAGGTGATGAAAAGACCCCCAGGAAGATAGGCAGAGGACTTCCTTTCTAACCCAGTAGTGATGCACGATTCATTCGAGGATCAGGGCATTTGCAGAAAAACGCAGAGCTGTTATATCCCCCCGCCCCCATGTCTGGCTCTGGAGCCTCTGAAGCCTCGAGATGATGTGTTTAGTTCTGGAGGTGTCTGGTTCAGTTCCAAGTGCTGGCTGTCACACATTCATCTTGCCTGTCTCCAAGTTTCTGGGAAGGATATAAAGAAGGATAGATCACTGTGTGGTGATTAACTAAATAAAGAAAGAAGGAACAAAAGAAGAATGTAGTTTGTTGCACAGTTCATTCCTGTCCTATTCACTTGCATGTTATGCCGCACACAGTAGAGCCCAGACAAGGAAAAAGAGCTGTGTTTTGAAGAAGCAAATCATGTTGGTGCACAGTCCACAGTGGGAATTGCATCTTTTCTTGAGGACGGGTTTTCAATGAACCTGGGAATTTGGAGCAAACAAGCGAGAAACACTGGATTGCACCTTGCTTTTTTGTGTCGACAGGAAAGAAACAAGCCCAGACTCCAGTGAAAATATAAGTGGGCCCAAATGCTAGTGTTCGGATCCAACCTTAAAATTCTCCACAGCTTGGGGTATTGGCATAAGTGGTTTAATCTGGTTCATCGCAGCTTGAAACTTGGTCCTGGTTTGCCTTTTAAGGAAGATTGTGGTGGCCCTGGTTACTGCCTTGAGGTTGAAATGCCCCCCAGAACCACAGCAAATTGGGCAGAGGGGTTTTTCACTCCCAAATGGGGCGCATTTGTCAGCAAAATCCTGAGTGTTTCTCTGAATTTCCCAAGTTAAAAAATCTGTATAAATCCAGTGTGGCTCCAAATCAATGCATTGCAGTACCAATCTAAGCTTTTCGTGAAGATTTCACTTAATGGCACATTTCTGGGCTTGCAGGGGAAAGTTACAGCTCCCTTTCTTTAGAAATGTTGTGCAAAAAAATTCCTTATTTTAGGATGAAACGCTGTTAAAAACAAATCGGGTGTTTGATCCATGATGGGAGTAGGTTTCATGGGGCTAATGAGATTCCAGGTGTGAAGGGCCTGACAGCCCGCTGGGCTCATGTGGTTGAGTCGTACCCATTTCCGAGGCCGGAGGTCGATAAGGGAACACGTCTGCTACCTCTGACACCCCAAGCTGAATGACTATGGCAAGGTGCAGCTGGGTTGACTGGAGACAACTTTCAGCAGGGATCCAGAGTGAAACTTAATTTTGCATGCCTTTACAGCTAGAGCACAATGCCTCAACTGCCCTGCCAACATGCCCCGGTGTTGGGTTGAGGGATGGTGAATTGTTGTTAGTTTATGGGGACCAAGAGGAGTACGCCATGGCTGCGTGTCGAAGAGGACTCCTCGGCTGGGCCTTTTGTGTTGATCCAGCCATTTTTTCACTGGGCAGCCACCTCCCGGGAAGCTTTTTCCCAACACCAGACCGGAAGGATTGCTTCTTAAGTGAGCCGAGCTCAGCAAATGCTGGTGTCAGGCTACAGCAAGCACCGGAGCAAGGGAGCAGTAAGAAATGAGCAGAGGACCCAGCCGAGACGTAACAAATGGTTGCATAGACCAGTCTTGGGGTCCAACTCTTGCAGCCTGGAAATCTTCCAGAAGAAGGGCCGGGGGGAAGGGAGGCCTTTTCTAGCCTGACTTAAATATAGGAAGCTTTGCAAGGGATCTAACGCTTAGCTGGCTTTGAGATCAGGCATGCTACTGAAGAGAAATAGCTATTGATAGCAAGATGAACCAAGTGGTCTGTGCAGAAGTTACCCGGGCCTGTGAGCCACAGGTTCAAATCCCAGCTGAGCTGGAGAAGCCCTTCATCCTTCCATCTTCCTACTTAAAAACAAACAGTTTGTCTATACAAGTGCTGAGCCCCAATGGTGCCTGCGGGAGTGTCAATGCCTAGCTGTTCCCTTCTCTGCAGGGACGTTAAAACCTCAATGGAGCTTAGTCCAGAACAGCTGGAGTTTACTGCTTTGCTCCTTTTTCCCCTCTTTCCCCCAATGGCACGCAAGCTGGTTGACGGATGCCCTCGCCAACCCAGAGGTGGCTGCATTTCAGAGGTGCTGTAGTGCTCTGTGTGTAAGCTTTAGGGGTCTGACATATATCTGAAAACACAGAATAGTTGCAACAATCAAGTCTTTCCACAAGATAAAAGAAACACATTGCCTGTTAGGAAAATAAGCATTTTGCAGAAAAGTAACATTGAAAAGGCAGCAGGAAAAGATGGCCAAATGCTTCCTTTTTTTGCATGGAGCTCTGGGAAAATATTTATCTCCCCTTTTCCTTTTTTCACCTGCGTGATCAAACCCTCCTTTCTGCACACAGGAAGGTTCCCCTATCCTACAACAAGGTTACTTTGCAAGGATTGATTGTGCGGACTGAAGGCTGCAGAACCGGGGCTTGTGCTTTTAAGGGCCCACAGGTTGAAAGGGTGCTATAGAAATGTAAGATAAAACTGCTAGGTCAAATTCACCCTCAGTTAAGTTAAATTAGCAGAGAATTTTGCTCAGGGGGCTACAAACCTTCAGGGCAAAAGCCAGCCTCTAGTCAATGAGGGCCGGGAAGAAGCTTCCACTAGGGGCAAATTCTGGCTGCTGTCAGAGACAAGGCGCTGGACTTAGGGGACCCGTCCTGGCTATTCCCCTCGGCCTGTATTCCTGCTGCACACGAAGATGGCAGCTACTGTATTGGGAGGTGCCTGCTGGCCAGCAAGCTGCTGCATAGGTTTATACCATGCTCCTTTTTTTCTATCTGTCCCCCTGCTTTCCCCGAGGTCATTTACTGTTCCCTCTGTGGTTTGCCTTTCCTAGCCCCACCTTGTTGCTGTTCACAGTCACGTCCGCTCTGGGTGGTTCCTTGTATTATTCTGTAGAATGGGACTTTTTGGTGTTAAAAAAGAAAGGAAACCCACTGGGTTCTTTTTTGTCTCCATCTTAGGGGCGCAAACCAGGCTACTTCTCCTTCCTGGATCCCTTTTCTCCTGGTGTCTGGCTCTTCATGTTACTTGCCTACCTGGCGGTCAGCTGCGTGCTCTTCCTCGTTGCTCGGTACTGGTACTTTCATTGCCGTTCCTTTCCCGTCCTGAGGGTGCCACCTAGTGTCAGCAGCTGAGAACTTGTGGAGGGGGGATGTGGGGAAGGGTTCAGCTGTGGGGGGGAAGCACTTGTGCAAAAGTTCGGGAATGGTTACACCGGGGTAAGGGGATCCTAGCACCAGCTTTCCTCTGTCCACCCCTGTCTGTGTTTGGGCAGTGCAGGTGCACGCATAAGGCAAGTCCCACTGATGCCCATGGCAGCCCAGTGACCCCCAGTAGGGAGAGCTGGCAGTGTCACAATTCTCCTTTCACAGCAGCTGATGAAGTGAGCCTGAACTCACAAAAGCTTATGCATCTCTGATTTAGTTCATCTGTAAGGTACACCTTTGCCCTGCCTTCGTTGCCACAATGGGACAGGAGCAGGAACAGATCAGAAGGATTAGGGTGCATGTGGTTGGCTGCATTGGTCTTGGCTGGTGCCATAAGCAGCCTGGAAGTCCCAGAGGGCATAGGAATAGAAACCAACAAGGCCGGTCGATCCAGGCAGCGATGGCAAGGCATTGAGCTCCTAAAATTAATTTGCAACCATTTCCCATGCCTGGGTTGGCTTCTCCTGCCCGTACAGAAAATGCATTGGCACCTTTCTGGAGCCTTGTGGTTTACCCAGGTCCTGCTTGATGGGCAATGAGTCAGCTTCTGTATGGCCCACGTAAATCAGGCTTAGATCATATCATGGAGGGCTTGCTGGCAGCACATGCCCCATTGCAGCAGGGATGACCTTGCTGCTATTCCGCTTTGCCTTGACCCTGTACCCGAGTGGTTCTGCTTGGTAGCACAGATGGGCTCCTCGGACACAGCGTGAGTATGTCCTGGCGGTGCGCTAAAGATATGCCCAAGGCTTAAATACTCGTGCGGGGCGCAGCAAATACCCAGTCCTCATTACAAAAGAGAAGCATGCTGTTGCTAGGTCCCCTGGCTTGGCTAACGTTGTCATGTTGACAGGGTTTTAATAGTTTTCAGACTCCTGTTATAGCCTCAATAACATAGCTCTGTAAACCATTTAATAATGCAGTCAGACGCTGTCTCCGGACTGAGCTACTCTAACCTTCTTCTCCATGTTTTAAACATGATCGTCTGAAGTGGGGCTCCTGCATGTTGTCCATGAAGACTGGCCCATATTAAATAGTCTCTGAAAGTGCCCGGGAGTTTACAGCTCACAGCTGGGCTTTGTGACCTTTGTGAGTTGCCGAAAAGCCTCTATCAGGATGACGTTACACTATTGAAAACCAGTAAAGGGAAGCCTCCAGAGATTAGCTCCACCTCCCTGGAGTCGCAGGAGATTAGGAAACCAAGACACAGACCGTACTTTGGTTAATCGCAGTGTGAGGCAGTGAAGTCCCCGCCCAGCTCCCAACACAAGCTGTGGTCGTAGGGTTAGGTCCTATTCCATCTGATAGGTGTCTGAATGTGATCCTATTCCACCCTGCTTGATTCAATGAAAAAAATGCTCACCACACATCCCTTCAGAAAAAGCAGAGACCCAAAGGACCCATTGCTTTGGGTTTTGGCAGTTTTTCAGGGATTTGAGTAGGGTGGACTACATGGCTCTTAGGTGCCTAATAGGTGGAATAGTAACTGGTCCATAAGGTCAGTAAGCCAAGCCTTTTGGGTTCCGGTTTTATTAATGCCAATTAACATTATGTGAAACCCAATTTAAGGCTGCTTCAAGGAGGGCTTCTCTGCAGGTGCAATAGCCTCTCCAGCCAGACCAGACAGCTTGTGCATGCCCGAGACCAAATACTGGCAGTGGGAGCAAGTCTCATTCTCAGAAGATTTTTCCACCCAAACAGAAGGAGGGGAGAAGTGATATGTTAGTTAGGAAGCAGGGGGTGGAATGAAGAGTGGAAGGGAGAGGAAGTGGAAGGGCTTGGGGTGGAGGATGAGCCCCACTTTGATTCACGGGCAGGGTGCCTGTATTGCTCTTCGTCTCTGATGCCCATGAGCTCTGCCAGTCCCTAGCAGGAGTCTTAGCCCATAAGCAAAGCAGATGTTTGTCTGGAGATGTGCGCAGTAGCCATTTGGATGACTCCACTGACTGCCTTGGCAGCCCACATTTATCTAGCACAGGCTACCATCTCACAACGTGATCCATGCAGATTCCTGACTTGTTCCCATGAGCTCGGTACAGTCCGGGGCTCTTTGAAAACAGCAGTGCCCCACTTTGGATTTGAACTTGGTCCATGCCAGACCTTTGCCTGGCTTTTCTTTTTGGTATTGACCTGCCTGCCTTGTGTTTGGCTTAGAGCTCCCTGTTGGCATTAATTCCCCAACTGGAGAAACACGGCAGAAACCGCTGGATGGCACCTGATTTTGCATCTGAACCATGTGCGTTTCACACTTGCGTTGTCGTTTGTGCAAAGCAGAGACCCGGGCTGGGATTTGCTTGAAAGCTTCACAAACCTTTTGCAGATCTTATTACAAAGCCTGGGGGCTTCCGGGTGTTACTGCAAACATTTTGCACAACGTCGCTATGAGCCCCCTGGCACCATTTGCCTGCAAAGAGCTCCCTGCCTAGAGATTCTGCCTCCAGGATAGTGAGGGATTCACCACTTCTATTCCCCCTGCATGCCTTGCAATCTGTGTTTCTTCATGTCTTGTTTCTTGACACTGCAGCTTGACACCGTACGAGTGGTACAGCCCCCATCCCTGCTCCCAAGGGAGGTGCAATCTCCTGGTGAATCAGTACTCTCTTGGCAACAGCCTGTGGTTTCCAGTCGGGGGGTTCATGCAGCAAGGGTCCACCATCGCGCCTCGAGCGCTATCCACACGGTGTGTCAGCGGAGTCTGGTAAGGAGACACACCTGTTGCACCTTTAAACAGCCTCCAGTTATGGTTCAGGATGTGTAGACGTGTTGCTAAACACTGTAGCGTTCTGGAGTCGTGCAGTCAAGCAGCGCTGTGGTACCATTTGCGAAGGGTTTGGCCAACAACAGAGGACCCTCAGGAGTTCAAGGAGCTCCGGATCAGGATGTTTCTGATGCCCGGCATGTTCTCATCAGTCTTGCACTTCTGAGGACTCTGCTGCAGCGTGTCCACGTAATGGGGTGGTCTTTCACCTGCTTCCTGAGCCTCCAAGTCCTCTTGCCATGAAACACCAGCCCTGCCATGGTGGTAGACTGCGTGACCTCTTAACCTGAGTAGTCAGGCCCATTCTGATTTGTCACTTGAGAGGAATAAGCAAACACAAGGCCCCTGGGAGCCTTGCTGGAGAGGGGCATCCCTTTATAGAGAAAACTAGGTGGCCTCTGCTTCTGCTACCTGCCTACCTAAGATAGACTCCAAGCAAATGTGCCACTAACCTGCTTAGATCTAAACCTACTTAATCTGGCCTGAAGGATTCAGATAAAGATTGATTTGTGTTTCCAAAGAACTTTGGGCACCTTTAACTTATGCGCGGGCCTTTGCTGGGA